TACTGTGCATGAGTTTTGTTTAATATTTACTTTATTAGCTTACTTTTACTAATTCACTGATAAAATTTGATATGCAATTAGAAGTTTGCTTATTATGCCCAGTTCAGTGATAAAATTTGCTGTAACAATCATATATTTGTTTAATTTTCCTAATTGAGTGACAAAATTTGCTATGAGAAATTTATCTCTGAAATTTGTATCATATCATTCATTTTTTTTAATTTTCATCTATATAGGAGAACAATTTGAAGCACACAGATGAAGAGAAAAAAACATACCGAATGCTGTTAGGAGAAATTCAGGATAAATATGAAGATGAACATGAACATGAAGATAAAGATGCTGATTTTCAGCGACAAAATCAGGCTGAAATTTTTGAAATAGAAGAACAAACATTGACTGAAGACAAATCCAAACATAAAATATGGGAACCAATTCCACACAAAATATCCCCTGAAAAGAAAAAGAAAACAGTACCCTTTGAATCACAAAAATGTGAAGGAAACAAAGTTGACAAAGAGCCTGAAGTGGATCCAAATCTGGTAGAAGTACTTGTTTTTGAGAGGATAGAAGACGACATGCTAAAAATGGAAAGGTTAAAAATGGAAAGGGACATCCTTCAAACTGCAAATGATAACCTGCAACAGCAACTCAACAAGCTGAAAAAGGAAATGCAAGAACAGCACAAAAAACAAATGCAAAGGAAAGATGAAGAAATCAAAATACTCCATGAGAGAATTGCAACATTGGCTGAGGCAAACAAGTACTCTGGAGAACAACACACACAACAGCAGCCTGCAATGAAGAAATTGAAAACTTCAAATGAAATTTTCAACATCCTACCAGAAAAATCAAGGCAAAATCTCATTGCACATTGGGCGAATACAAAAAAACAAGTAACAATCTTCTCTCTTGACTCCTGTAGTTCACTTTTGCCGACTGTTTATCATTAACTCGTATTGAATTTATAAGTATCAAATATTCCAAAAATATTAATAAATTTATTATTCCAACACTAATAACCATTTTTTCAAGGATCAGCCAGTGTGGCAAGGATCTCACCATGGAACCTATGTCGACTTAAATGACATTGACAAAATATTGAAGGGTCAAGATTTGGCAGGCATTGTAAGTTGAATTTGTAACTCATTAAAATAACATTTTAGTGTTTCATTTATATTAATTCCTTGTTTTGTTTTTTGTTTTCAACACAGGCAATAGATGCATCTGCAGAACACTTGCTTGCACAAAAACAAGGAACAACATCATTCGTATTCATTTCAAGTTGCCATGTAAGTAACTACTTTGCTTAACTGAGGAACGACACTTGTTTTGTTTTTTATCAGTGTATAACCTCTCTTTGCTTAACTGAGTAACTAGTTTCAAACATATGACACTACCTTCCCTCTTCAATTGGCCATGTTTCCTAATTCAAAGCTTGACATGTGAAACAAAAAGTCAAGCAAACCAAACCAGAATTTCTAACTCAGATTTCGTAATCACTGTTATATATTTTGACCTTGTTATTGTGGCGCCACAGTATGAGTAAATCCCAGACTTTGATTACAAATTCTAGGCACTTTTTTGGATTTTTGAAACTACTGTATATGATATTGAGAACTTCAACAAATATTGAGATGTGTTGAAATTGAAATAGCTTGATTATATGCTATGATGTTGCAGGACATAGTTCACTTTCATTTTGTTAGTGGTGAAGCCTCATAGAGCTCTTGTTTCATGTAATTTATTAAGTAACGGACAACTTTCATTACAACTCTGGAATGAAGAGAATCATGATATATATATATATATATATATTAGTAGATGTGCACACTCAAATGAGTGTACTTGAAATAAGCAGTATGGATATATAGCCTGTTACAGATCATCTATGAATATTTATAGAATGAAAGAGAAGCATAGTATAGATGTATTAGGGGATATAAAGATCCATTTCACATGGAGGAGAAAAAAAGGCCTCAAGACACCAATAGATGTGTTCCCTTTATATGTAGTATAAATGAATTTTGCAATGCACTGATAAATTTTGATATAGATTGATAAAATTTTGATCACAGTGACAAAGTTTCATACTCACCACCTATTTTATTTAAAAAAGTTTAAAGTTAAATTAACATTATTTTTTTTATTTATATTTGTTAGCACTTGTTTACTACAAAAGACGAGGAAGCAAGAACACGAATGCTCAACAAAATAATGCCTGAAGCAATGAAAGCAAGATACCTTCTATTCCCCATTCACCAAAATTTTCACTAGACAATACTTGTCCTTGACATTGAAGAAGCTTCATGGAAATTCTACAATTCGATGAGACCAAGGGGAGCACTGCCTAAAGATCCACACTTCAATGCTGCAAATGAAGTGGTAAAAATCTTTTCACTATCAAACTTACCATTAATCCAATACATAATATCTGACCCATGCTTAATTATACATCAAAAATTTATACAGTAATATATTTATCATTCTTTAAATCCATGGTTTCTCGTTAATATTTTCAACTGACTTTCTAATACAACAATTATACAAATGTATATGTTGCAGAGACAAATTATTGAAAAACACATAAAGCATGAGAACCCAACTCTCATTCACCTTGCTAAATTTGAACAGCAGACAGACAACGTCATCAACAACCTACAGCAAGATGACACATCGTAAGTTTATCAATAACTAAACACTATTATTAAAAAAAAAGAGCAACAAAACCAAATTATAATATTTTGTTTCCAAAATGTTTTTGCAGGCTTGATTGCGGAATCCTTGTTTGCTACATCATAAGGCAATATGTTTCCAATAAAAACATAATGCCTACTTTTACCAAGGAAGAATGCAATCAACTGAGAGCTGATATGTTAACTGTCTTCTTGACTGACCAACAAGCTCCTCAACGACAAATACCTGATCAAAACATTGATGACTTGCCTGTGCAATAATCAACACATCTGGAATAGAAAAAAACAAATTGACAGTGTTACCTGTATTTTGATTATTTCGGTTCTTACTTTAATACAATGAATATTACAATGCTTCGTTGTTACAATGTCAAAGTTATGGGCAGTGCTTGGTTGTTACAATGTCAAAGTTATGGACAATGCTTGCTTGTTACAATCTCAAATTTGCTTCAATGAAACATTCAGTCTTTTTTAGCCATATCGTTACCAGACCTGGTTTTTCATATCAATCTTGTTATCCAAATTTCATTCAAAAAATTGATTCTAATCTGAGTATTCGTGTTGAATTTAAAGGTTAATAACAGGTTTGGAGTCACTATACTGATAAGTTTATTTTTTATGGTGTTTTGTTTACCCTGATAAATTTATCACTATTTCAACAAATTTATCACTGTTAACACTGATAAATTTACCAATGTTCAAACAAAAAAACCAGCGACTCTCTCTTCCTCTCTCATTCTTTTTCCCCAATTCAAGTAAACAAAACACTATAAAAAATAATAAAAAATTTACCTAATTGAAAATTAAAACACAAGCACTAGTACATTGTCCTAATTGGAAATTAACATACTGTTACAATTTGTAGATATTCCCAACTTTGAGAATGAATGTAAGAACATGCCATCCTTGGTGATTTCTGAATAATCAAAACCATTTGATACTTCAGTTAAACAACTCAAACATCCAAAGCTAGCTTCTGAGTGACCACAAAACTGTATGCAGACTGAGAACTTGTTGCTAAACCAAATAAACATGGTAGTTGATTTAAAAAATTTTGCTTTTTAAAGCAGTTAACACAACAGATATGCAATTATGTATTCTAGAGATTTGATCTACACCTTTGTATTGTGGAAATTTTTCCTAGGAAAGCTAGATAACTCCATACAATGATAAATTTATCACTGTAGAAAAGAGCATTTGCTTGGATATGACAGTGATAAATTTATCAACCACTGACATAAATGTAATAAACCATCAACTCTTCCCACACAATAAGTGATAAATTTATCATTCTTCAAAATAACAAAATTCAAGAACCACATTAATGGTACATTTATCATTCTTACAAAAAAATAAGCCATCAACTTGTCCAAACCAACCAGTGATAAATTTATCACTTTATAAAATACCAAAAAACAGTAACTACATTTAACCCAAATCAAATAATATAAATATGTGAAACTTAATCCTGTAAAAATATCAGCAAAAAATATAATTTCTGATCAACAAATTCCTCAATCATTCAATGCGAGTACCAAAATGATACATCTTTCAAAAAATACTCAATCATTCAATGCAAGTAACACCTCTCAACTCTCAAACAAAGTAATTCAATTAAAATCAATACAACTAAAGCAAAGCTTGTTTACATGTCTTCCGATTATGAGTTCCCATCTTTCCACACCTACTGCATCTAATTCTCTTGATTTCGCCCTTAGAAGGTATTCTCTCTATTCTTGGACGTCTAGCTGGTCTCTTACAAAGAGGAGGTAAAACAACGTCATCATCAACAACTACATTTGGCTTCCACATACTAGGAACTGGATAGATAGAATGTGAATAAGAATCACAATAACTACTAACACGGTAGTAATCATCAAGAAAGCAATTCAGATCTTTCCCATTCCTCTTTATAGCACAAAAACCATGTTTGCAAGGAAAAGAATCAATTTCTCACAATCGACAAGAACAACAACATTTCCCAATATCAACCATAACTGAATGATCCAATTGGATTTCATAAATGTCATCGCTACATTTCTTAACTATCCATGCTTTTGTATCATTAAAAGCTTCTTCCAACTTTTTCTCTGCAAAAGGACAAACAATACAATTCCACTTATTCCCAATTTCTGTCCTTCTTGAAAATTGCTCCATCAGTTTCACCCGTATAGCATCAACAAGACTAGTTGAAAACAAATGGCGTTCATCCCTAATCCATGAATTAAACGATTCCGCAGCATTTGTGCACATTTCACCATACCTCTTGCCTTGAAAATAAGCGTTACACCAACACTCATTAGGCTAATCCTCAAGAAACCTCTCAACACTACGACCACAACGACCCTTAAATTCTTCAAATAGCTCATTAAACAACTCAATAGTATGAGCATATGCACATCTACTAAAAAGAGTAAGCAAATTCTCTTTTGATTCACGACTCTTCACTGACAAATAAGTCTTCAAGTTTGTCTTCAAATGCATTAGACAAAAAGAATGAGAAGAAAACGGAAAGACCTCAGCTAAAGCTTTCAGCAAACCTCCATGTCGATCAGTAACAAACACAATATCCCTCTCCGAACTCAAAATACCTAATAACTTTGACAAGAACCAATGCCAACTGTCATAACTTTCACCATCAACAATCGCAAAACATAATGGATACAAACCTACAAACAAAATATATATATACAAGTTATCAGTAACAAATAAAAAAGATTACAAAAAGAAAATCAAAACACAAAGTATATAACATATAGCACCAGCCATAGATAAATTTATCACTGTATAAATATAAAAATTTAACAAAAAGTATACAGCACAAATTTATCACTAATAGATTGACCATACTCAATTATCAGCACTCTCCAGTAACAAAAATGATAGAATGATCACTATTTCAATAATAATAACACATAAACACAAAATATACCTTGGTTACCATCTTTCGTCGCAGCAGCCAATAAACAATCTTTGTGTCTTCCTTTCAAAAAAGTTCCATCAAACATGAACACAGGCCTACAATACTTGAAACCGTGAATACATGCCTCAAAAGTGAAAAACAAGAATTTGAAATGTCTTCATTTACTATCAATATCAAATTCCATATAAAAAACACTCCCCGGATTGCAAGCATTAGTGGCATCAACATACCAACGAAGATCATCAAATGATGATGAATAGTCACCAAAAACAAGACCCTTTGCTTTTTCAACACCCATCCAAGCTCGCCGATAAGAAACTTCTGTTCCATAATAGTCCTTGAAATCACAAACCACCTCACTAACCGATGTCAAAGCCTTGTTACAAATATCACTAGAAATTAGCTCACCAATCATACTTAAAGTCATCCTAGCATGTTTAATTGTATGAAAAGAAGATCCACAAGTATGAACATCATCAAATTGTTTAATAACAAAAGCTTTACTATAATTTTCCACTCTAGCATGCACGCTCCATAAACATCCCAAATCAGCCCTTCTCTTACAATGAACAGTGACACGATCCTTATCATTCTTAACAAAATCAAAATTAAAACAGGAATGAATAGAATACTTTGACAACGCATCTCGAAATTCAACAACTCCTTGAGCAAACCTTTGTCCCACTCCTTTCATACAATTAACCCACCCATCGGAGAGCAAAGGTTTCCGTTGATTTGAATAAAATGAAGGCAAAAAATCAGTTTCACAAACAACACTACTACTACTACTACTACTAGCTTCACCATCACAAATCATATAACCTTCACCCAAAGAACAACACTTTACAAAAACATCAATACGATGAATATCACAAGAAAGTGCCAGTCCAACCATAACCTCCAAATCCTCTTCACTTTCTAGACCACAAGAAGAATGTCTAGCCATTGAATACGATATATTCAAAGAATTACCAACTAACTCACTACACTTTGCACACAATTTATATACTAAATCCTTGAAATTAAATCCATCATTATACTCGATAACCAATGTCACACCTCTAAACTTGCACATAAGAAATAAACAATTCTCCATCACTATAAATCCTGCAACAAACAACAATTACATTTCAGAAAACAACTCAAACACCCTAAAACAAAATCAAATACAGTGATAAAATTATCTCCTGTTCCCATGCTCGCTCATAAATTTATCACTATTGAAAAAGTTAATCCAACATCACCCCCAAAATACACAGTGATAAAATTATCGCTGTATAAAACAACAAACCAACACCTGTGTTCAATCAATACAATTTTGTAACCAAAAAAAAAAATAAAAATCTAAAATTCAATCAACAAATACATATCTCAAAACTTTCGATATCATGATCAAAACACAAATTCAATTGCAATAGAAACAACAGAGTAACAACAATATCACCACAAAATCAAAATCACCAACTCAAACTAAAAAGAACCAAAACATTGAAATTGAAATCAAAATCAAACATACCAGTCGACCTAACTCCACAACACCGCAAATCAGAAAATGTAACTATACACCAAACGCGAAATCGCAAATAGGAAGAATCACCAAACACGCAATCGCAAATCACAAATCGCGAAGATACACCAAGCGTGAAATTAGAAATCACGAAGCTCCACAAATCGCGCAATCAGAAATCACGAAGCTCCACAAATCGCGAAATCAGAAATCATGAAGCTCCACAAATCGCGAAGATACAGCATCAAATCGTGAAGTTCCACAGAAATCCATATCACAAACACAATATTTTGATGGAAAATCCAAACAGAAACGAGCCAGAACAGGGAAGGGGTAAAGCGGTACAAAAAAAAAAAAAGTCTCAGGACCTGTTGGTGCACAAGATCAAAAGTCAAGACTAAGAGGGGAATAAGTGAAAAACTCAGGACCGGCCAGTAAAAAACCCTAAAAATTACATCATCATTAGTAGAGGTTGACCTTTGATCGGGTGAGTGGAGTGCTCAATTCATGACATTCTCCTTACATACCTAAGTTCCCGAGACACTTTGGTTATGACGGACAAGTGGCATTTGGCAAGAGTCACGGGTTTCCTAAATTTTTTAAAAATATTTAGGTGGCGACTCTGAAATCTGGTCTCGTCTAATTGTACATTTTTGGCAATCGCATGCAAATCAAATTGGCCTCGTCTATATTCTCAACCTTGATTGCACTTTCTCTTTCTCTAAATCCACAAAATAATAATAGAATCAAATGAGTAGAAAAATATTGTCAATAAAGCAATTTCTTGTGAAAAGAAAAGATAAAAATCGAAATCAGGATAAATATGAAAGCATACTTTGTCTTTGTTGAGCAATTCACATGAATGCAATAGACACATCCTATACAAACACATAACCAAAACCTTCCTTTCCCCATTGAATTTTCAAAAATACTGCAATTGTTGCAGTCCTGACTAAAACAAGAATAATATTCATGAGTAGGATAGATGAGGGTGAGAGGGTGAATGTGAGTGTGGTGTTTGAAGGTGGGTGTTAATGAAGCACAGTCCTTATAGATCCAAAAGCTGCATGTGTGACACATATAAGACATGTCTTTACGTTCTGTACCACAAGGATGACATTCGAAGGAGACCGAGCTGGACACGAGGCTTAATGGGTGTTTGTGACTTTCGTGTTCAAGTTTCTGTGATCTCAAAGCACAACGTTGGTCAAGGTTGAAATTGCAAACAGAACAATGACATTCATTGTACGGGAAAGAAATAAACCTTCTCGTATAATCCTGTTGATCAAGTCCGCGTTCCTCCAAACGTCGTCGCTTTACTCCCTGAAAACACAAACGTGAGCTAGCCGGCGGGTGTGTGCCGGAAACCCCTCCGATGCCTAAGTCAGCAGAATAAACAAGTAGACAAAAAGCTCTGTGTATCAAAGTTGTGTGTTACCTCTCCAAAGGTGATGTTGGTGAGCTTTTATAGGTTCCGTGTGGCACAATCCAAGTAGGACTCTTACTCTTCCATGTAGAGTCCTCCTAGGATTCATACTCCTAAAAGATAGTGCCTATCCTTCAACACCCCTCTCACTGTTTAAACCAAGTGAGATGGTTTTACCATGGTCGGACTCCAATGTGGCCGAGGTACGCATGGCTATGCTTAGCCGTAGAACAGACCGAACTATCCTTAGTTCGGTTCGTCCTTTTACTGCCCTTACCTCAGTTCCTCCTGTACAAACCGTGGTAAGTCTAAACCGAGTTAACTTTTAGCAAGGTTTAGACCGAGCTAACCATACTGCGCCATAACCGGTATAAGTTTTAGTACGGGACTCTGAAAGTTTTGTTAACTGCAGGGAGTGGTGGCCAGATTGATGAAAAAAATATCTATTCCATCAGCCCAAGACTGAAAGCATTCTCTGATTGGCTTCTCCAAGTGATGATATCAGGCAATTTGGAAGTTATTTTTCCAGCTGCTTCTCGGGAATACGCACCTTTTGTTGAGGAGTTGTGGAAGGATAGAGCTTTTCAAGCCACAGTCAATCGGAAGAATGAACTACGTATGCTACCCAGGGTCGCTACTTATTTCTTAGATCGGGTGAGATCATGCTCTTTCATGCTTCTTAACCGGTTTTGGGTACTAATTTGTTGGACAGCTTATGTTTCTTTTTTTTATTTTCCTCTATTCTAATTTGAAGTTTATCCTTTTCAATAAATAATCTAGCCTCCTGTGTCTGTAAGTGTGAAACAGTAGCTTCAAGTAAAATTTTTAGTGAACATTGTCTCTTTAGAGAGTTAAGATTTTGGCTCTCTAAAATTGTTGGTACATGTAAAAATGAAATGTGATGTAGGTGCTTGCTGGTTAGCATCTAAATTTATGAGTTATTTTTGTTCTATGAAGGCTGTTGAGATTTCAAGGACAGACTATGAGCCCTCTGATACGGATATCTTGTATGCGGAGGGTATCACTCCATCCAATGGCCTGGCTTCGATGGAGTTTTCATTTCCAAAGCCAACACAGAATAGCTTCATGGACCCTGCTGATCAGAATGATCCATTGCAGAGGTTAGTATTCAATTTTCGTGTATTGACCTTCTTGTATGCTTACTATATATTTAATACATATATATATAAACCATAAATTCTCTAGATTCTGGACTAGGTATTAGTAAAATTTCATCATCGCTGTTCCTGAACAACTTCATTTGTGATCAGAAATGGAAAATTCTGGTTGTTAACTTATTTCTGGTAGTTAATGGCAAATTGGTGGAAATCTGAAATCCAAATTAATTTCAACCAAACCACATTACTGACCGCAGTTCGAGTCTTTTTGATTGATGCCAATGCTTCTGCTTCCACCCACTTTGTGAAGTAGTCTGTTGCTGCGAGAAAGAACTTCCTATTTCCGGGCGCTGTTGGAAGTGGTCCTACTATGTCCAAGCCCCACATTGCAAAGGGCCATGGGCTGGACAATGGTAGGAGTTCTCTGGCCGGCCGATGTATTTGGTGTGCGAACTTTTGACATTTCTCGCATTTTTTCACATACTTTTCCAAGTCTGCCTGCATGTATGGCCACCAGTATCCTTGTGAAATGGCTCTGTAGGCTAACGATCTTCCTCCTTGGTGGCTTTCGCACACCCCTTCGTGTATTTCGAACAAGAATGCTTCTACTTTGCTGGGGTGGACACACTTTAGATAAGGTCCTGAAAATGACTTTTTGTATAATGCTATAGATGGGGAGAGCCAAAATCACTACGACTTTGCTCGAATTTTGTTGGCTTCTTTCTTGTCTTCCGGTAAGACGCCGTCTTTTAAGAACAGTATAATGGGATCCATCCGCGAGGGGCCTAATTCGGCGCAACACACCTCTTCTATTCCAGGGTCCTCAATGCTTGATCTCGGTAGGTAGTCAATTAGTAGTGGGTGAGGGATGGATGTATCTGCCATCGATGCAAAGCCTGCTAGTTCATCTGCTCTGCTGTTTTCCTCCATGCCAATCTGTTCTATCCTTACTACTTCAAATTTCTTGATCTCTATTCTGACCAATTCTTGGTAGTTGGCCATCCTGTCGTCCTTTGCTTCATAGTCACCAGAAATTTGGTTTACCACCAGCTGTGAGTCGCTGTAGACCATTAGTTCGATGGCTTTCATGTATGATGCTGATCTGAGTCCTGCAAGAAGTGCTTCATACTCTGCTTCGTTATTTGATGCTGGGAAGCCAAGGTTGATTGTTTGCTCCACAACCAGGCCGTCTGGTGAGATGAGGACTATGCCAAGTCCTGCACCATGCCGGTTGGATGCTCCATCCACAAAGAGCTTCCACATCTCTCCAACGAACAACTTCCAGCAAGTGGAAGGGTCAGATGAAGTCGTGGGGTCAAGAATGTTGGTGGTGTTTTTTTCAAGGTCCATGCTTACTGTCTGCCCCTCGCTATCTGTTTGTACAAAGTCTTTATTTGTTGGTGAGACTTGGCTCGGTGTAGCTTGGTTTACTTCTTCCTTGCTGTCTTTACTCTGGCCTGCCGTGGGGTCTGACTGAGTATACTGCACCAGGGGTTGCGTTATTCCGGCGTCAACTTCTGTCCCCAGTTCGGTTGTGTTAGTTAGGTCGACTGGGCAGATATGATGACTTCCTGGGGTAAATTCTGCGACAAAGTCTGCCAAAGCTTGGGCCTTTATCGCGGTTCTGGGTTGGAACTTGATGTCGAATTGTCCCAACTCCTCTGCCCACTTCAAGATTCTCCCAGAAAAGTTCGCTCTTTCAAACAGGGCTTTTAATGGGAAAGCTGTGAGGACAACTATGGTGTGGGCGTGAAAGTAGTGCAACAACTTCCTTGATGCCATCATTAAGGCTAAGGCCAGCTTTTCTAGTGGCAAATACCTTGTTTCAGCACCCAGCAATGTCTTGCTGACATAATAGATGAACAGATGCTGGATTCCATCTATACGGACCAACATTGCGCTAATTGCATGTTGAGAGACCGCCAAGTACAGGAAGAGTTCTTTTCCAGGTATTGGGGTGACCAGCAGTGGTGGAGAAGACATGTATTCTTTCAAGCTTTCCAGAGCGCGGTCGTATTCTTCATCCCACTCGAACTTGGCTTTTAATGCTTGAAAAAATGGTTGTAGTCTGTCTGACGACTGGCTAATGAATCGGTTAAGTGTAGCTGCCATGCCGATGAGATGCTGTACTATTTTTACTGAGTTAGGTCTCTCCAGGTCCTGAATAGCTTTGATTTGGGAGGGGTCTGCTTCTATACCCCGGTTGGTCACCAGGAAGCTTAGGAATTTGCCAGATCCTACACCGAACGCGCACTTAAATGCATTAAGGCGCAACTTGTGCTTCTTCAGAATCTGGAACATCTCACTTAGGTCCATTAGATGGTCGTTTTTATCCTTGCTTTTGACCACCATATCATCGATGTAAGCTTCCATTGTTCTGCCTAACAACGACTCAAACATCTTGGTGACCATTCTCTGGAATGTTGCCCCTGCGTTCTTTAGGCCAAACGGCATGACCTTATAGCAATACAGTCCTCTTGGAGTGGTAAAAGACGTGACCTCCTGGTCTGGTTCGTACATGGCGATCTGATGGTAGCCTCTGTACGCATCCAGAAAGCTAAGCCGGTTGTGCCCCGCTGTTAGGTCTACCAATTGATCTATCCGTGGTAGGGGAAGCTGTCCTTTAGGCATGCTTTGTTGACTGTCTTATAGTCGACGCAAACACGCCATTTGCCATTCTTCTTTGGTACCACGACTGTGTTGGAAATCCATCTGGGGTAGTGCACCTCTCTGATAGCTCTTACCTCTAGCAGATTTCCCACATCTTCTACCACTATCTCGGCGTGGTGGAGTGCCGATCTGCGAGTGTGCTGAATGATTGGTCTGGCAGATGGGTGGACATTGAGTTGGTGACAGATGAAGTTTGGATCAATGCCTAACATGTCGTAGGGTGTCCAGGCGAACACTTCAATGTTAGAGGTCAAGAATTCCAAGACCTCTAATCTCTCAGTGCTGGACAACGACGAACCGAGCAAGAAGAACTTATCCAGGTTCTTTTCATCTATTCTTACCTCTACCAAATCTTCCACCACTTTTTGATTAGCTGTTCTGCCGACATCTGCGAACAGTTCATTACTCTCAGGTTCTTCCACCGAATGAACATATCCCTTGGCGGCGTGGCTGCCATTAGCCGTGACAAAGCATTGCTTGGACATAATCTGGTCTCCAAAGACCTCTTCAATTACTCTGGTTCCGTTGGGGAACCGCATTACTTGATGGTTGGATGATGCTACTGATTTCATGGCATGGAGCCATGTTCTTCCCAAGATTATGTTGTAAGTGAAAGGGACTTTCAACACCCAAAATTCCACTTGTTTTGTCATGCTTCCTGCTCTGACTGGCAGTATAATTTTGCCGACAGGCCATTCTGGCATTGAATTGAATCCGATCAGGGGGGATACAGCTGGTGCCAGGTCTTTGTCCTCTAACTTCAGTTGTTTGAAGGTATCGTAGTACATTATCTCACACGAGCTACCTTGGTCTATCAGAATTCGCTTGACGTCATAATCCTTGACGCGGAGGGTGACGACCAGTGCATCGTTGTGAGGGCAATATATTCTTTCCAAGTCCTTGTCTGAAAAAGACATGACGTTCGTGGCCTCTGTTCTCTCCTTTTTGATAGTAGGTTGGGCACTTAGTACCTCCCTTAAGTGCTCAGCCTTCTTGATCGACCCTTTGAGCTCGCATACACGCTCAGGTTCGAATACTCCATGTATTACATTGATCACACCTTGTGGTGGGGCATCAATTGGCATTCCATTGGGGTTATTGTGGTCCTGTGGGGCTGGTTGCATCCCTCCTTCAATGTATTTATCCAGGTGACCGGCTGCCACCAACTCCTCCAGATGCTGTCTCAATGGCATGCAATTTTCATTGCGGTGCCCCTTTTCTTTATGGAAGGTGCATCGCGACCTTTCGTCGTAGTCTTTCTATGTTTCTCCTAGCTTTGCTGGCCATCTGACGAAAGGTTCATCGCGTATTTCGCTCAGAATCCGGTAGATCGGTTTCTTGAATACCGTGGTTATGGTTGTGCGGATTCTCAACCATCTTTTATCCTGGTCCTCTTCGTTGTCTCGCCTGCCTCGCCCGTTTTTGTTCGGACGTTCTATCGCGTTGATCTTTGCTATGGTCTTTTTATCTGGTACTGCGGTCGTGCCAGATTTTGTTTTGGCACGGGCGCCATCCTCTTCCACCCTGATGTGCTGATGCACTCTTTCCATCAAGGCTTCCATGGTGAGGGGTGGTGTCATGGTGATCGAGTCCCTTAGTCTATTCCCGACTGTGTTTCCGACCGGAAGGCCTCTTTTGTACTGTGCAATGGCGAGATTGGTGGGGCAGTCCCCAATTTGGTTAAATGTCTCCCAGTAATGACTATTATAGGATCTTAGTGTCTCCTTTTCGCCCATGTCGATGGAGAGTAACTGGTCAATCTCCACTGGGGTTTTGGTGTTCGTTCTGAACCTCGTGACGAACGCCTCCGCCAATTGTGCCCAGGAGGCTATGCTGCATTCTGGAAGTTTTTCGAACCAAGTCAAGCCTAGGTCACCAAGGCTTGACGGGAAGATGATACACATCAAAGCCTCGTTTCACCGATATACCGCCATAACCTGGCGGAAGTGGCTTAGGTGTATGTAGGGGTCCGTCTTCCCCTCGTACGTGGTGAATTTGGGTTGAAGGAAACCTGAAGGAAGGGGCGCGTTTTCAATTGCCAGAACGAATGGCGAGGTCTGCAGCCTTGCTAATGCTTTGTCCGTTGGTTCGTAGGCAGGGCGTGGCAACGGCATTCTAACCTCGACGCTTTCATGCGTCCGAGGAGCCAACCGCTGAAGGGTAGAAACCCTGCGAGGGTTGCGCGCCCTAGTATCCTCCTTCCTTCGTGCCTTTTCTTCCAACATGTTCCGCAAATCGGACGATCTTGGCAACTCCGTCTGCCTGGATGATGTCTGGTGCGAGCGTGAGGGTCGATAGGTACTTCCCTCAGTGAAAGACCTCAATGATCTCGTTCTCTCAAACCTGGAGTAACGAGTTCTGGAGGTTCTGGATTGAGTATCGCCTGTCCTGAGGCTTCTACTCTCTGCTTGTGATGGTGTGGAATGCCTTCCACGGTCTTCTGAGTGGTGAGGAGGCATTTTGCTTTTGTGCCCCTCTCCTGTCGCCACTCCTTTTCCCTTAATCTGGCGCTTCATGGCCTCCATGTCCGCCGCCATCTTCCTTATTAATTCATCTTGCTCCTTCACACGGTCCTCTAGAACTTGAGG